TATATACAAGTTATGATTTGAGATATTGCACGACATGCTAGGTTTCGGAAAACCTATGTTTATCATTATATTTGTGTTTTCATAAAGCCTGGGGGTTAGTACGTTGATAACTGTTTTATTATATATATATATATATATATATATCAACTTGGTCCACTCATGTTTGTTTTGCGCCCCCTTTAGGACTTAGAATCGAGGCGTACAATCCCAACGTCAAGGCACTTACGCATCGGCATCTTCGAGACCTCTTGGTGTAGGATCCATTCTTTTATTCATTCAATTTTATATTATTTTCTTTTAGTGTTCTAGATTAGAGATGTGCTCTGAACACGTTCCTTATTTGCATATTCGATATTCTTTTATATTTATAAGCCTTATTTATCCCTTGTTTTCAGCATTTGCACTCAATAAATGGCTTTCGTCACCCTCAGGTGTCAGCCAGCACGTGTCTATCCTGGTATTCGGGGAATATCAGGGTCGGGGCGTGTCACCCCCAACCGGCATGCTGGATCCCCAATGAGGTCAAGTGTTGGGTATTTTACATACCCCCTAGCCTCACTCACTACCCGTATGATACTTTATTTGTATGTATATGCAGAGGTTCGTGAAGGTGACTTGGATCTGGTGTCTACTCTCTCGGCTCAGAGTTTGGCTTCCTCCAAGGATTTGACTGTGGTGGCGGCGTGGTTTTTGCTGCTGGAGATTAGGTTTTTTGTTGTTTGTTTTTGCAGCCTTCATGCCTAAACTTGTGTAGGCCTCCCGTTTGCAGCTCTCATTTTGCTTGGACCTTTTCCATTATATATAATTGTTTACCTAGTTCTTTTTGGGCCTTTTACTAGTTTTTAATGTAATGGAAGATATCTTACTTGACCCAAAAAAAAAAAAAAAAAACAAAAAAAGTTGTGTATATAAATTATGGCAGCGTAACTACGATGACAGACCCCATCTCAAAGAGTTTCGTGGGGGTGGCAAATAGCAAGCACCCGTTTTTGTGGATCGTTAGGGATGACGTGGTACAGGGAGACTCCACTACTTTACCCAATGAATTTTTTTGGAGGTTTAGGTAGGGGTTACATGGCAACGTGTGCACAGGACCGAGTGTAGGCCGGTCGATCTGTTGGGGGCATTTTTATCAGTGGTTGCAATTATACTCTTGAGACAATATCTGAAGGTGTGCAACAAACGAATTGTCGATGCACATGCACTGCCTGGGAAATGGGAGTGGAGGTGAGCCCCGATGTGAAGCGAGATGAAGTTGAAGGCCCCGTTAAGAAAATGCTTGACGGAGAAGAGGGGATGAAGATGAGGGCCAAGGCAAAGGAATGGAAGAATGTCGAAGCTATGGATATCCACGGCAAAGGATCATCGTACAATAATTTCGAGAGATTGATTGAGGCTCTCCAATGTGGGAAGTGAGGAACAAACCTTTGGTTCCTTATGGAGAAGTATCAAATGTGTTTGTTGATGAGGGTTTATTTGATTTAAGTTCATGTTTATGTTGTCTTTGTTTATGTTTGGTTTGGTGTCTCTGATCATGAAAGCCCTATATATAAACAACTGTCTTACAGTTTACGGAGACTTGCTATGAATGAAATCCATATTTCCCTTCATTATTTTCCATCTGTACATGTAAGCTGTTAATGAATACAACATACAGAGCCATTTGTAAATGACAAGTTCAACGAAAAGACCATGCCGGATGGTTTCACCCCTTAATTCTACAGATGCTAAACAAGTTGTTTGAATCCAAGAAGTGCAAGAACTTTCCTAATTGGCAATGGCAGCGTTATGAAGTAATAATTCCAAATCTTTCAGTCTGCAAAGAATCGTAAGTACGAACCATGTGTAAGTATGCCAAACAATACAAGGAAAACAATGCATTCACTAAAGAAGAAGATGACTCCCATACCTTATGCTACTCAAGTCAGGGTAGATTGCTATTGCATCTTTGAAATCCTAATAGAATAAAAACAAAGGAGGGTCAATTATCTCATACCGTGGGTCATGTCGACGAAATCCTTCGTTTAAGATGACTATAGAGTAGGAAGCCTCACCTGCTCAGCTGTTGAAGAGGTGTAGGTAATGACACATGACATCCCAGCTTTTGTTGCTGCCTGACATTACCCAAAAACAAAACATTAGCCATGTTTAGTGAAGGGAATTGAATACACAAATGACAAAAAGAGAAGAATTACGCGTAAACACAACGGTTAAGAATAATTAGTAACTGAATATTACAGAAAAATGAGGATCTACCTGTAGACCAATAACACTGTCCTCCACCACCAAACAATCTTTCTCCGAGACTCCAAGTCTCTGGAAGGCAAACAATGTAGTTACACAAAAACCAAGATCAAACAGTTAAAAGTGAAGAGTAATCCATACTGCGCAGCACCATAGAATTTTTCATGTTATTGAGGAGAATCCTTACAAAATATAAATTGTTGATCATAAATGACTGCTGAATTCATATTTGGAAGTTTAAATTTAGGATGTTAGATTACTGACCTTGGCAGCAGTAATATAAATTAAAGGATCAGGCTTTTTTTCCTTTACATCATCACCTTCACACAAAAACCACACCAGACAGGGAATTCAAAAGTCTAATTCTTTTTTAATAAACTAATTCAAACATGAAACGTTCAATGTGATTTGATAAACCTGCAAGCAATGTTCTTAAAATTGCAAGGCGGTAGTCAGGTGGCGGGAAGGAGCCTGATGCCTAGTGGCTTAGGCGGTTTTTATTAAATAAAAATACATGTGTAATATTTTATAGCTCGGTTTGTAACACATTCTAAGTCCATATGTTGTTGTTGGGCCTTGTTTTCTCATTGGGATTTAAAGAATTCTTTAGGCATTAATGCACCATATATTGTCATACAACTAATCCTACTCAGGGTAATTGACATGTTAAACATGAATATGAAGAACCAGATAAGGGTTATTAATGTGTAATGACACGTCTCACAAAATTTCGACCGAAACAATTTATACAAGGATTTCGAAGTTCAAAAGTAATCAACATACCAGCAAGGAAGCAATCAAGACCCTGAAAACGCTCCTACAGTCAGGAATGTATAAATTGATGAGCACATTTGGTACTAACGAAGAAGCAAATACAGCTGGTTCTAAGTTTGAACTGCATTAAGTTAACGAAAATGTTGAGGAAAAAGGCTTACAATTCCTATAAGGTTTTCAAGACATAGAATTACTGAACTTTTAGTTGCTGCAGAGCAAACAGCAAGCTTTTTCCCCTACAACAATCAGACAGAGATTACTCTTACAAGCATAAAAAATGCAGTTTAATGCAAGAAAGCAGATGCTAACGACAGCGGAAGAGAAACAAACCAATACATAAAATGTAAATAGATGTTCTTGGAATTGAATCGGGGATAAAGGGATGCATATAACATAAGTGGATTTAAAAGTACTGTTACAAGAAATTAAACTTTTGAATAGTAAACATTAGCTTACAGAAGCCTTGGCCTCATCCATCAATCTTAAAACTCCTGGTCTTGGTTCCACCTGGTCAAAAAAGAAAGACAATAAAACAAAGTTCACAAGTCTATATCGCTACGAGTTATTTATTCAATTTCAACATAACCGATAATTTGTTCGAAAAGAACAAGGATCAACAGGAGAACCAAAATGCAGCAAGTACAGATGTCTCCTTACAGTTCCGGATTTGATAATTTCTTTGTACCTTTCAGTTTTCCAATCCTACAAGACGATAAAAGGATCAACATACTACGAATAAAAGTACATATAATTCAAAACCGATCTATGCTCAAGATTTGAAAACGCAAACTGCAAATTCACGACAAAAAGATAAAAGTAACAACAATCTCAATGCACTGACAGTGGAAGGATTTTTAAATGAGCTACAAAATTTCTAACAAGTTTAACCCAAACATGCCATTGATTAGAGGAATTTAAAACTAAGAAAACAATCCGGAAATTCTTTTTCTCAGAAGCCATACAACTAGAACAAGCAAAATTAGAACCTGAATAGTATCAATGATCTTGGCTCGGCCCTCATCGTCTTCCGGAGGCTTCTCGAAGATTGTGGACGACGGCCAACCGTGCTCCTTAAAGTACCTTAAACAACCCAAACCCGAATTCAATCAAAGAAGAAAACAAAATCCAAAGTTTCAATCTTTGGAGAAAATTAGAGAGAGAGAGACCATCGCATTTTGGGTTTGCCACCGCCGATTTGGTTCTGGAGCTGATCGTAGAAGTGGAGGTCCCAGTTGAGGGGTTGAGAGGCAGAGGAAGAGCAGCGGACATTGAAGTGAGCGAAGGCCTCGTTGTAAGCTTGGCGGTGCAAGTGCTCGGACTCGAGTATTACGCCGTCGCAGTCGAAAATCAGAGCTTGGAGAGCAGAGGAGGAAGCTGAGACCGAGACTGAGAGTGAGAGCCGTTTTCGTGTGGAGGAGATGGAAAGATTTCTGGGGGTTCGGAACCGAACGAGGGTTGTGTGCGAGAGTATAAAAGAGGAAGAGGAGGAGGAAGAGAGAGGGATCGTGATACACGCCATGTCTGGCTGGCTGTGCTTGGGTTGGGATGGGAGGGGTTGGGTTCCTGTGGCTTTGGGATGTCGTCGTAGTTTAGCGGGTGAAGCACGACCCTTATGAACCTCCAAATTTTCCTATAGTTTTCCGCCTTAAATAGTTGAAAAAAAAATGAAGGATAAGAGAGTACACATCAGGTCCCTTACCCACGAAAAATTTTTAGGTGTACCGGGTACACCAAATTTTTTTGGTGTACCCTCACTCATTAGAAATTTTTTGGTGTACAAAAAGTGAGGGTGCACCAATTTTTTTTGGTGCACCCTCACCATTATGAGTGAGGGTACACCAAAAAAATTTGGTGTGCCGGGTACACCGAAAAATTGCTCCTTACCCACGCCTAAGGTCATCCGAGGTTAGATGTGTTACGAAGGAATTACATGAGGGGAGTCAAAGGATACCAACGCCAAAGTCATCTCTGACCAATGAGCCTAAATATAGTTCCGTTTAGAATTATAACTCTGAAACAATATCAGGTCATATATTTATATACCTAAGTTTTAAGTTTATTGGTTAATTTAATTAAACAACTACTTATCTATACTATTAAGAGAATACTCATTGTCAATTTTCCCCCTTTTTTTTCTTCCTATTTTGCCCTCATTTTTGATATACATTATCGACAAAAAGGAGGGCAAAGTAGTAATTTTATACCCTTTGACAAAATGACAATCATTTCCCTACTTTTCCAATTTTACCCTTTTTTTTTTTTGAGAAAATAACAATCATATACTTATTTTTTCAATTTTACCCTCACTTTTGATACACAATATTTACATAATAAAGACAGAACAGTAATGATGTAATATTAAAAAAAATGCACTTATTAAGAGAAATTGTTCACACATACAAAGTGTGTGCTCTTTGCTAGTTAGGATTTAAAAAAATAAAATTTTCTTGAATACACCCTAAATAACTTTTAACATATTATTGATCTTCTTCAACTATCAAAACTATCTACCTTATCTATATTATTAAGAGAACCCTCTTTGTCAACTTTTTTTTCTTTTTTTTTCCTATTTTGTCTTCACTTTTGAAACATACTATTGACAAAAAGGAAGGCAAAATAGTAATTTTCTACCCTTTGACAAAATGACAATCATATCTTTATTTTTCCTATTTTACCCTCTTTTTTGAGAAAATGACAATCATATACTTATTTTTTCAATTTTACCCTCACTTTTGATACACAATATTTACATAAGAAGAACAAAACAGTAATGATGTAATATTAAAAAAAATGCACTTATTAAGAGAAATTGTTCATACACACAAAGTGTGTGCTCTATGCTAGTTAGGTTTTAAAAAATAAATTTTTCTTGAATACACCCTAAATCACTTTTAACATATTATTGATCTTCTTCAACTATCAAAACTATCTACCTTATCTATAGTATTAAGAGAACCCTCTTGGTCAACTTTTTTCCCTTTTTTGCCTTTCCTATTTTGCCTTCACTTTTAATACACACTATTGACAAAAAGAAGGGCAAAATAGTAATTTTGTACGCTTTGACACAATCATATCCATATTTTTCCTATTTTACCCTCTTTTTGAGAAAATGACAATCATATCCCTATTTTTCCTATTTCATTTTTGAGAAAATGACAATCATATACTTATTTTTCCAATTTTACCCTCACTTTTGATACACAATATTTACATAAGAAAGACAAAACAATAATGATGTAATATTAAAAAAAAATGCACTTATTAAGAAAAATTGTTCACACACACAAAGTGTGTGCGCTCTCTGCTAGTATCATATTAAAATAAGGTTATTCGGACATGATTTTTTAGTGTTGCATGTCACCAAATGAGTAATTCTCCAAATTTCTTATCTTTATATAATCTCAATAAGTTTCGGATATGATTTTCGAGTGACACATGTCAAAATGTAACGGGTTATGCAAATTTCCGATAGGATTCTTATCCACGTGGCACTTCTTACTTCCAATTAATAAATTGATTGGATATTTGGTATAATTCGCACACCTTCATCTTTACCCTTTCCTATATCTCTTGTCATTGTCTAAAATTTTATCATTTCAATTCAAGTTTTGTAATGAATTCCAATTCCAAATTGGATGATAAATGGGCAGAGCAGAGACGAAAAAGAAGTCCGATGAAAAAGATGAGGCATGGCCCAACATAACCTTTATGGAGCCAATGGTCGTGACCATGGAGTTTGAGGAAACTCAACAACAACCTGAATGGGGTGGCTAAGTTGGTGGTTGCTCTTACAAACCACTACAAGGAGAGGCCGCGCATCAAACTTTGATGCACAACTACTTCAACCTAATACGGTGCTCTCAAAAGAGGATTTTAGACGTTGCTTCTAGATGAGGCATCACTTGTTCGACTGTTTGCTCCATGACGTCCAAATTGTCATTCTGTAAAGCAAGTCATCCCAGTCTCTCGCCTCACCAAAAGATAAACTGTTGGACTCTGAATGATGGCCTATGCCTGATTGGCTGATAAGATGGATGATATATATAGTATGTATGAGTCTACGTGCCTAAAAATCTTGCTGAACTACAATTGTTCACATTTACAAAGATACATACCTTTGTGAAACTTGTAGTATTTTTTAGATGTATGAGTCCAAACACTTTCACTTGAGTGCTAATCAGTGCCAGATCTAGGAAATATTATTACGGTTTAGTAAGACGAGCGTACGCAGCGCGCAAAATTTTTTTAACAGAAATAGGATGCTTATCACCATTTCATCGAGCCTTGGTAGGTCTAAAGTCATTTGCAAAGGCATACTGCACACCTATTAATGCCTCATTTGCGTGGGTAACTAACATGTTCCAAGGCTACTGCCATATGAATGCTTAACAAAGGAACACACTTATCTTGAGCACACTAATAAATTGATTGATATCATTGTGTCCCATTAATATGTTTGTCCAAGATTGATGATGCTTTGTTCATTCTTTGAGATTACCATTTCATTTACCTTGCATTTTTGGATAGTCTTTTACTTGGTTCTTTTTTTTTCTTCCTTCAATTGTAATCATAATCAACAAACAAACCAGAGGTAAATAATATTAGGACTAGACTGTAAAGGGGCAGCACCTCTCTAACCCATTTTATTAAGCAATCGAAGGGCATATATGAAGGACAACTCCAACTTTCAAAAGGGTAGTACCCAAGTCATCCGTATAGATTCACCGAAGTTATGAGGGTTAACTGACCCCTTTGCCCCTAATTCGATATGCCCATGGTGCTAATACCTTTAACATTATCTTCAGAGACCCAATTATAAGCCTTAAAGAGCTTCATCTTCCTTTGGGGTCCAACCTTTTCTTTTGATTGAAGATGTGGCCATTTAAAAAAGAATGACAATTGTAAATTTAGATTATTAGAAGAGGTAAGAGAGATGTGTGTATGAAAGGAGTTTTTGAGGTGAACAAAATGTAAAATTTTGGAATAAAATAAAGTAAGATAGTATGTAGGGTGAAGAGGATATGAGAAATGGTATATAAATTGGATAGGTCGATATATATATAATAAAATTTTCTATTTTTATAAATTTCCGCCTAAAATGTATATAAACACACATGCACATATATATGTATATATACGTCCAGCTGGCGCCAGCTAGCCATTGAGATTCAAATCTAGCTATTGGAATCTTTCAAATATGATCATTGGATCCAATGGAAAATTACAATAGCTACTGTTGCTCCTAATAAATGGCCAGGTATTGGCTGGGCCAACTCGATGCCCCTTAGATCATGTTTTGGTCTCATAGGCTTCATTGATTTTTAGCCAAGCATTTGGCTACAATTGGGTTTTATCCAAATCAGGCCATATTTTGGCCATTTAGCCCTCTTCATTAAAGATGGCTTAAGGGTAAAAGTCAAGCACAATGTGCTAATGCAAGGCTATTTTTTGGCATTGTATGGCTTAGGAGGTTGAACTATCTGCAAGAAAATGTGATTAAGTGTTAGAAACACTCACCTCAAATCAAGTAGATAGGAGAAGAATTTGACCCAATTGTGGGACAACATCCGTTCACACAATGGGGGATGAATATTCTGGATCAAATCTTTTAGGCAAAAGATTTTCGTACTCGCTACCGACTACTTCACCAAGTAGGTGGAAGCCGAAGAATATAAAAAGGTGATCGAGAATGATGTGGTGAATTTCATTTGGCGAAACATCATATGGAGATTCAAAATGCCTAGGGCGACTGTATCAGACAATGAATCTCAATTCAAGAAAAGGAATTTTAGAAGTTACTGCTTTTGAAAGGGAATTATCCAACAATTCTCATCCCGTATCCCCAAGGAAATGAATGGTCTAAGAACACCAACCAAACCATATTTGGTTACTTAAAGAATAGACTTAAGCTAAGCATGAGAAAATGGCTGGAGGAATTGTTAAAGATGTTGTAGGCATATCAAACGACCAAGTAGAGGCCGATAGGAGAGCTTCAATTTTCAGTGGCTTATGGATCTAAGTAAACCTATTACGTTTAGGTTACCAACTATCTGAAAATGATAGTGGAAGTTAAATAGGCAATGATAAACATAAAACTCACTGCCTTCATTGGTTAAAGAACAATGAGATATCAAAGCTATCTGATTGGCAAGTTATCGTAACAAAGTAGATGTTGGGGCCCAAAATGTCACACACTAATCCAACCAAGTCTCAAGGCCCAATTGTCATGCAAAGCCTACATTCAAGCCCAAACACATGCCAAGGCGCAGGATCGACGAGGAATAAATTTACCAACATGCCATTCCACGATGATTATGCTGGAAATTCACGCCATGCTCATGCCTATTTCACCACGCCATGCTGCCTTAGTCACTATCCATGCTAAGCCCAAGTCACATATTTGAGGCTTGTTAAGTGGATTGTGGTGTGGATGGTTACGGAAGGTTATCTAGCCTACGTGGAATCGGGGTCATGGAAGACTTTGGGCTCCTTGGGGGCCTAAAGATCCAAGCCCATACCCTTTGTATTTCACACAGGCCTTATTGAGAGAGAATTAACCTAGTTTACCCATT